GGGCGTCGGAGTGGTTGCGGGCCGGGGGCGGGGTGGGAGCGGGTGGGTCACGTGGGGGGGAGTGAAAGCCCACCACCAAAAGCCTTTATAAGGAGGGTCTGGGTGTTGAGACAAAGTGTATTCAGGTACTTAGGTAGTATAACAATATATCACTGTTCCCAGAATTAAAATCCGATTATTCGGTAGGGAGAAAGAGACAAGAGGGCATAGGACTCTGATTTAAGAAACTGGCAGAGTTTTGACTGATCAATTAGCTCAAGATCAGATAGGGTGTTGAGGAGTTTGTACCAGTGTACGGTTATGATGAAAGATCGTCTTCGTCCAGGAAAAGAAATTCAGCGTGAAATCCGTCGAGCGCACAGGTCACTGTTTTAAGTGAACAGCTTGGTCTGTGTTTAACTCTATAATAATATTAGTAATTTTGAAGGCACGATAATTAGACTTGACGGAATAATTAGTTGTATTAAGAGTAGCGCTTTTGCTAGGAAAAAATATACGTGAAATGGCCCTTCTTGAGGTATTTCTAGGTTGAGTACTTGTGATTTGCCATTGATCTTCTCATTAGTTGGTTTCTGTGGCCAAGAAATGTCGGCCATGAATAAAGTAAGTTATATCTTTTAGTGCTACACTCCCATCTTAAAGGATACCTGGGCTTCCGTACCTATATCTAGAGTATTACCTCTAGCTACCTAGTATTTCACAAGCTGTAACACGTGACTACTCCTTCCCCCACGCCTCCCCCCTTTTAGACTCGCTTAAGTAAACCAATCTCCATCTCGAAAGCTTTACTCTTCTGTTCTCTTATCTTCTCTTCTCCTCTCTTTAGTTTAGAATACTCGAATACACTTTATCTATAAAACCTATATATTTCTCGTGGATCGAGAAGCGCGAATAAGACATCTCCATGTCTTATATACTATACACTTATAAGTACTAAACATTAAACATTATATATCCTATACTATTCTATTATCGAACTCTACACTTCTTAGCAGGCCTGGGCTCAATTGTTTCCTCGAGAGGAAATATACTTCCTTCATCCCATGTTAATTTCCACATCGGGCTAAACCAAGTGTCCCAATCCTCGGCTACATCCTCCTTTCCAAACATCTTTAGTACACTTACTACCCATTTGTACTTGCCCGCGGGAAGGAACTTTCGACCCTCGGATTTTCCATTCCAAAACATCAGTGCGTTATCGAGAAGGAAGGGCCGTGCTTCCGTTTCCTGCGTTGGTATAACAGTAAGAACCCGCTGCTGGTTTTGCATAGACCAGATTTCGAAGCGTGCTCTACGAGTCGGGAGGCCGGCTTGGATTATCACTCCCGGTTTCAGGTCTCTCCTTTGTCGGTTTCTCAAACACGAGACAGGGTATGGGCCGATATCGTCGTACATACAAATGAATTCGTGGCCCTCTTTGAATTTCTCCAAGGATTCGCCGTCTGTACCAATGAGCTGTGAGCGCTGGCGATCAATCATGGGTATGTTATTCAAAGCACCGCCTATCCCAGTATATGGGATACTTAATTTTTGTTCGGGTGACGAGATAGTAACAAATCCCCCAAAAAAGGTACCTCGCCAGTCCTTGTCTGGAAGATCAGGCTCCTTCGTAATCGAAACAGAGATCTGGGTGGCTGAATTGGGAGGCACCGTCACATACTCGGGCGAAATTTGAATTGATGGATAGACACCATGTACGTCTTTCGCCGCTCTTCTATGGCCCGTCTGGTCGAGCAGGTATCCCGAGGCAGCTTTTAGATGACCAAGAGTGTACGTGATCGGCTGGGGGGTCAGATTTCGTAGGCCAAAGGTTAAGGACGACGGTCGATGAGTGGTATCATTGAAGTCTAGCGAAAGCCTGTCGATGGAGGAAGTGGTGTGCGCCGCGTCGAAGGCATTTACTCGTCCGGCGCCCTGCTGAAAGATGGGAGCCATTAAGGGTGCTTCCGGACGAGAACTCGGGTACAGCCGTGGATAAGCGTTCGCAACCAGCGCCAGTTGAATAGCCAGTGGAGAAGCATCGCGATTCTCCTTGCGGAACTTCTCTATAAGGAGGGCAGCACTCCCAGCAACAAAAGGGGTAGCGAAGCTTGTGCCATCCTGTATGGTCCAGCCGATGCCAGAACGTAGCGCTTTTGGCAGTGGGCAAAGCATTGAACCGCCTGGGGCGACTATTGTTGGCGCCATGTGTCCGTCCAATGACGGGCCCCAGTTTGAGAAAGGAGCGACGAGACCTCCACTACGGGGGTGGACGATCTGGGAGAATCTCCCCTCAGAGCCTTGAGCGGGAAAGGTGATCTTCAGCTCGCCCGAGCTTTTAGACATCATCTCGATCAACACCCTGGAGTCGGTGTACGAGATAAGGGCTGAGTGGGTAATGGCGTCCACGAATCCGTAAGGCACGCTGGGAAAGCTAACTCCATCCATCCAGCTTAGCGAAGAAGGCGTATAGTAGAGAATTGCGCGGATGCCCAGCTGGGCCGTAATGGCCTTGTTGGTTTCCCAATGGTTCCAGCAGTGGTGCGCGTCAATCAGCAGGATCGTGTTCTGGAGGTCGTTTGGTAGAAGATTCTTTGGTGGCTTTGGTAGCACATGACAGCCAGGTGGTAGTAGCTCCGCATCGGCTGGGAACCAAATCTTCCACGGGTTTGGACCTAGTTGTAGCACCGTGCCCGGCGCATAGCGAAGTGTAGTGCCATCGTCGAGTTGTACACCGAATGAGAAACTAATGAGGGAAGGAGAGTCAGTGGCACCGACCGACGACGTTACTCTTGAGGTTGCAGGCGCGTGAAGGGCAAATAGGGGTTGCTTCTCGGCTTGGTTGCCCGCAGGGAACGAGACGAAGATGCCCGATTCCTGGATCTTCTGCGCGATATAGGGTAACGGATGCTCTGGGTACGTAATCACTGTCGAAAGGGACATTGAAATGATGTCCGGCTTCCGCGAGGCCGCGTAGAGCAGGGCCTGCGTCATCCCATCTTCCCAGAATTGTTCGTTGGCACGCGTGACCGCCACGAGTGTATATTCGGCCTCGGGAGCCACACCAACGAAGCCAAAAGGATGGTCATGCTTGTGATCGCTGTCTGAGCCAATAACCCCCAGTACGCAGGTCCCATGCGAGCCGGTGCCTGGCACGTGGGCGACATTGGCACTGTTGTCCGCAACATTGTGAGTGTGCACAATTTGTGTTTTTGAGAAGGCCGAGAGGCCCACAGGTTCAAACCCGTCATCGATTAGTGCAATGTGGACGCCCTTACCCCGGAAACCCACTTGATGCATTTGGGACACGCCCGTGGTGACATGTTGTACGTATGGCCCCGTGTTAGAAGAAGCAGAAGTAGAAGCATCGTCTTCTCTCTTTCCAAAGTGCTGCTGCTGCTGCTGCCGCTTGCGCTTAGGCATGCTCGTGGGGGCTGGATCCGTGAGATCCGGATCCGCTGCCCAATCCTCTGCCACTAAAGGCCCAGTCCCATCTTGGTGGTGGTTAGTGAGGGCATCGAGATCGCGTGGTTCAAGCGACGGCACTGGGATGGGCTGCTGGGCTACCTGCCATACCCTCACCACTGAGTCTAGGGAGCGTAGGGCAGATAGGATGCGGGCCGACAAGACCATGGCTTCTTCACACGTATCCAGGCATTTCACGTCAAAGGACCCGCCAACCAAATACGGGGAGTCGAATACTTCGCGCACCTGCAGTTGGCAGCCGGACACCTCAGCGGCAAGGCGCTCTTGATATGGCTGCCATGACAGTACACTGTCAGCCTTGATATCAGGTGAGAGTCAGGGGGGAGCTTACGGCTAGAGTGAAAGGGCCTCCGACATGTTCCACCATGAAGATGCCATGATATGGCTGCTCTGCCGCTAACACTGGGCCACGAGTGAGCAGTAGTCCCCAGCACACGTAAAAAGAGTAACAGCAGATGTAAAAACGAGTGTGGGAGAGGGCAAACATAGTATTGGAAATGCCGCAAAAACAAAGCCTAAGAAAAGGAAACACTTGCCCATTATATCTCCGCGCAGGTGAGCCTCAACATGGCCTCGTCGTCTCTGGGGGAAGGTCATACAATAGCTGGACGAAAGGCAAATAGAGGCCATAGGAAGCCAAATAGACAACCCCACCCCTCGAGGACAGGATCATCGTGGACGAGACACAGACGTGTCACCCACGGTTCATGAAGCCCCTCTCTTGAACGCGTTCGCAGGGGGGAAAGTAAATTGACCATATCTGATGCCATCAGTGCGATATCAGAACATGCCTTCACCGTCCTGCGAATACGCTGCCAATGCGAAATGACCACGCATAAGCATCCGCGGTAGGTAATTTGCAGCTTCGAGATAATCTAATGACTCCCGCGCACCCAGAAGGCTTGTGCAAGCTGGACGTTGATGACTGAATGGAGCGAAGATGCTCACACAGGTAGACCGTGGTTGCGAAGAAAATGGTAATTGGTAATACAGTACGGAGGTAGTGGACAGCCGTTGGATTGAGGTCCAACTTGCAGGTGGATTGACGTTCAACTTGGATTGACGTTGAAGCTTGAATGATGAGGTCGCGTCTTGGCGGTAGGTAGGGCTGCAGAAGCACGCACCATGATCTTAGCCCCTGGCTTCATAGCCGATTTTGATTCCGCCGCTCCGATCCTGCCCCTACCTACGCCCTACGCCCTATCATCCTCCTAGTAGACAAGAAAGGTAGTAGAGACTTCTTTTATCTTAGCCTAAAAGTAACTAAAAACTATTATATTATATTATTTTCAGACCAATCAAGCTAAATGTTCTAAAACGATATACTCCGTAGATAGGTTAATCCAAGCAATTGTTCTAGATATTTTGATACTTGGAATTAACTTACGCTAATAGTTTAAAAATAGCCTCTACTACTTTTCTTGTCCACAGGGATCTTCCCTTACTAGGCTAGGTAACCCTTGACAATCTGGCGTCTAGGATAAAATAAAAGTACTAGTGAAAATCAATATATTATTGGAGAACAAGGTTAAAGAAAAAGCATTAGCGTAGGTTTGGTTCCCGCTCTTCTTCCTCTAGCCGAGTTCTCGACACCTACGACCTATAATCAAGACATGACCTCCCCAAAATCCGAAAATCTCAGTCTTAATCCAAAGTTAGATCACCATATTTACATATCCAGCAATGATTCTTTTGATACCATAAATTATAATTCATGTCAAGAAATTGGATTTCCTCAAGGAATTCTCTTATCCCTTAATTCCCACCCCAAGTAACCGTCTTGACAGTCTGATACTCCCCAAGCCCATACTTACTCCCCTCTCTCCCAAACCCACTCTCCTTCACTCCCCCAAACGGCGCCGCAGGGTCGCTAATAAGCCCCGTATTTACGCCCACCATGCCGACTTCCAATGCCTCCGCAACCCTCGTGACACGCTGCAAATCCCTCGAGAAGAAGTATCCCGCAAGTCCCACATCCGCCGCATTAGCAAGCTTGAGAACCTCCTCTTCCGTCTCGAATTTGAAGAGCCCTGCTACAGGGCCGAATGTTTCTTCGGACGCGAGATCCATGTCAGCTGTCATACCAGTAATCACAGTTGGCTGGAAGAAGTTCTCTCCTAATTCGGGCATCTTCTGGCCTCCTTGGATGACTTTTCCGCCCTTCTTGACTGCATCACGAACGTGAGCATCAACTTTGGTAATAGCTCGGTCATGGATCAGAGGTCCGTGAGTGATCCCCTCACTGTAGCCTCCCCCAACACTGAATTCCTTGACCTTTGCTGCAAAAGCTTGGGCGAACTGGTCGTAGATTCCGGATTGGATATACAATCGGTTTGCACATACACAAGTTTGTCCTGAAGAGCGGAATTTGCTTGCTATAGCTCCAGCAACGGCAAGGTCTAGATCTGCATCGTCGAATACGATGAATGGAGAGTTTCCACCTAGTTCAAAAGAGAGCTTCTTGAGGGTGGAAGATGATTGTTTCATAAGAAGTTTTCCGACGCCAGTTGAGCCTGTGAAGGATACTTTCTTTACAATTGGAGATGTTGTCAAAACCTCACCAACTTCGGGAGTGTTTTCTAGCGCGCTTATGATATTCACGACGCCCTTCGGGATTCCAGCTCGGTGGGCGAGTTCAGCAATAGCAAGTGCTGTGAAGGGAGTCTCTCCGGGAGATTTTGCTACTACTGTGCAGCCGGCTGCAAGAGCTGGGCCAACCTTTCGACTTATCATGGCTGCTGGAAAGTTCCATCTATCAAGGTCAGCTATTCATCCAATATACAGCAATCCTGTTGTATCCCTACGGTGTAATCAACCCACAAACTCCGACTGGCTCTTTAATAGTGACAATTCTGTTTCCGACAATCGATGCTGGAATGGTATCCCCATATATCCTTGGTGCTTCCTCACTGAACCATTCAAAGAAGTTTGCTGCGTAGGTTGCTTCCCCTTTGGCATCTGCTAAAGGCTTGCCATTTTCCCAGGTAATCAGCGTCGCAATATCCTCCGAGTTCTCGACCTATGCTCTTTATTAGTAGGTTGTCCATTTTTTTCAGGAATATTTCGTTGCTTGTACCATCAAATCGTACCACTTCCGCAAAAGCTTCGAGCGCTCGCGACCAGTTTTAGCTTTGAAAGAAGGAAATGCTGCTGCTGCGGCATTAATTGCAAGTTTTGTGTCTTCGGCATCGAATTCGGGGGCAGTTCCAACGAGTTTTCCTGACGTAGGATCTTACACAGTATCAGTAACGCAGGTATCCGAAATCAATTGGTAGCACCGCATACCAAATACCTCAAATGTCTTCCCTGACTTTGCCTTGACCCACTCCCCGTTAACATAGGCAACATTGAGCTTCAACAGTGACGGATCCTTGAGTTTTGGCACAACGTGCGATAACGAGGAAGCTGTCCGGGACATGATAGTGGGTAATGAAGATGGTTGGAATCGTGATCGTAATAGAAATCGTGATGCAGAAGCTGCAGACGCTGTTTTGAAGATGGGGGTCATGGTGATGATGACGTCGAAAGGGAGCTCGCAGAAGCTTGTGAATTCAGAACCGCGTCACCGTATTGACTGACACCATTGAAAACCTGAGATCAAGAATACTTCAATTGATTTGAATAGAAGTAGACTTCTGTTGTGTTTGGCAGGAAAACAGGAAAAAGAGTTACATGGTACAATGTAAAACAGAACAGGTGGGGTAGCTGGAGAGCTAGATACAGCCACTTTCAAGGATAGCGATAGCTTCAATTCCGAAGGTTACTCCAAGTCCGATTCCGTATTTACTCCGACTCGGTGGGTCACGTGATTGAGAGTTTCTCTCTCTTTTTGAGATAAGAAGAAATTTCAAGGTCATGACATTGAACCCCTAATAGTTTGCCATTAAGCTTTTGGAGCAATTATACAGTCATCATAAAAGTAAGAATTTGTAACTACTACCTAAGGTAGGTACCTAGCCTGAAGACACGTTATCTTTAACTTTAATATATACCTATATTACTATTATAACACTTAGAAATTGGCATCTGATTAATTGTCATCTATAATAATCAAATTGATTTTCTAAAGACCTAGAGCACTTACTACTGGTAGCACAAATATAAATTATCAAAATATTATTATTATATTATCGCAACTAGACAGACTACCTAGGTACTCTTCAACTACAGCGATAACAACAATCATGAGCCTCCTCCCCGTGTACGAAAACACGAGTCATCTTACTTACCAGGGAGGTCATGAACCGTACCGTACCTACCAAGGTACCCCGCACTGATCCTTACCTAGGTACACCCCGCACTCAGACGAGGGGAACGTTCCTTCCTAGAACACAACTTCATTTAGGTAGATGAAGATAGAGTGCGGTTGTGCTTGATGCAGCAGGCCATGCGATGCAGGCCCTGGAGCCTGTCTAAGCATGCTTAGCTGCCGGAATAATTAATGTTGTTCCAAGCTGATATAAATTTTTTGCGCCCTCGACGCGTTCGTCGAGGATTTCTTTCCTTCACCCCCCTTCCCCGCTGCAAGGTACCCAAGACACAACACCAGGACAACACTGGAAGGGACGTCCTAAAATAGTCTGAGTTGACGAACTACTGTTATGATCAGAATGGCGGGTCAAAGAAAAGCTTTGGTCATTGCCGCTGCCATCATTCAAATAATCGGTCCAACTCCTACTCGCGCTACTGCTCTGATCGTATCGGACGAGCCTCCTGCCGAGACACAGGTTGCTCCTATCTTGGAAGCATTTGTGAGCTATTCGATTGAATTCTCGTCCTTTCCGGATTTTGCTGGTAATACTCTCTCCGTAGTTGGTCTGAGAATTTCAATCTAACCCCTACAGGAAACAATTCACATCCCAATACTTTCTCCAACAATCTATTGAATAACTTGGGAAATCTCACAGGCACAAAACCTTACATTCGAGTTGGAGGAAACACACAGGATTATGCTCTTTATAATGCAGATCTCAAAATAGCTCTCCAGGGCACAATCGTCCCCTCAAGGGCTCAGGATTATCCAACAGTCATATCCATTGGACCATCATACTTCGAGTCGTACAATACATGGCCTGATACTAAATATATCCACGGATTCAACATGGGACTGGGCGGAAACACTTCCGCTGGATGGCAGACGTTGATTGACACAGTACCCCTAGCATGTCAAGCTTTAGGCAACGAAAAGTTGCTTTGGTGGGAATACGGCAATGAACCTGACCTCTTCTCCACAAGTAGTCAAGGAGCCGTTCGTCCTCCAACATGGAACGAATCCACGTATGTCGATCAGTGGTTAAACGCAACCAGGATGATCAAAGTCCAACTCCAAAACTACTGCCCTGACCTGGCTGAAAATGGATCCTACGGATATCTTGCACCTTCGTTCGCGGGTCTCAACAACCACCTCAAACCAGTCAAAACTTGGCAATCAGGGCTTGATGTTGACAAGAGCATCAAAGTGATCTCTTCGCATAAGTGAGATCCTCACGGGGTATCGTTGATTCTGCTCCATAACTGACTCATGAATAGTTACATTGGAGGTGCCACCCAACCTGGGGTCACTCTCCAAGGGACTCTCCTGAACCATACCGTCACGGTTCGTTCCGTTGATGCTCAAGCTCAACTTGGCCGAGATCTTTCCTATACAGGACTACCCTTTATCCTTGGTGAAACCAACAGTCTCTACAATCAAGGTAAACCAGGGCTATCAAATGCTTTTGGTGCCGCTCTGTGGGGTATAGATTTCAACCTGTATTCTGCGTCAGTTGGTATCCAAAGAGTTCACATGCACATGGTTAGTCGAACCAAGGTTTTCCTACATATGCTAGTCAATTCTTCTTCATGAAACCAAGCCAAGCCAAAAGAAATAATGGCTCGAAACAGCCCTATGAAGGCGTGGCATAAACCCACCCACCTTATACACCCACCTTATAAACCCACCTTATACTTTACACATCAATTCAAACTAAATGTACAAATAACATAGGGAACCAACTACCGCTACCAAGCTTGGCAACCAATCCACACAAACATCACAACAATCGGCACCAAACCCCCTTACTACGGCCAAATCGTCGTCGCCGCCATGCTAGGCTCCCAAAACGAAGGCGCAACAACAATAACCAACATCCCCACGACCTCCTCACACGAAGCCATCTACGCAGCTTACACCGCCGACTCGCAGCTCGCACGCGTAGCAATCATCAACATGAGACAATACAACTACACCATAAACAGTACCAGCTCGGTCCCTAACCCAGTTCCTAGACCCAGCGTAGAATATGAACTCCAGCTCCCTGATTGTTTTGACGGGACTGAGGCAAGCGTGAAGAGACTGGTTGCAAATGGCTCGGATGCCATTACGGGGATTAGCTGGGATGGAGTGAGTTATAATTGGGAGTTGGATGAGGGACGACCGGTGAGGTTGGGGAATGTGACGACGGGGGAGAAGGTGGCTGTAGAGGACGGGCTTGTCAAGGTGAGCGTGCCTGATTCGGAGGCTGTGATTTTGGAGTTTTGAGAGTGGTGGAAATGAGTCCTAATGGAGTGCAAATTAGTTGTGCTCTTGGTCGTGAGAATAGAGAATTACTTTCGTATTAAGAGGAAACTGGAAGCAATGTATTCCAATTTTCAAATAAGAAAAATAGATTAATAAGTAATGTTTCGGAATATTAGTTCTAGCTACCATATTAATTGGATTATAAGATATCATTTACAAATAAGATACTACTACGATAGTAGATATAGTTCTATATAGTCCGAAAAACTAATATCTTATAACTTTAACTAATTAGGAGGCTAGAATCTTAAATCTATGATTTTATATTATTTTTTAAATACTTTATTTAATACTACCATATTAGCTAAAACACTTATAATTATAGTACTAGATAGCTAAGAGGGTGTTTTAAAGTTAAGCCATAAAAAAACCGTATATAAATTTTACAAAAACTAAAGCTATTCCTAGATACCCCGTATATTTACCTGTAACGAATACTCAAAATGGCTAACTAAACTTGGCTGGGTGTTCGCTGGTTGGTATGCTATGATAAGAAGAAGACTATCGGGTTGTTCACTTGGAAGTGAACTCGTTACTTGTATCAAAGATGTCAAACTAATATGATAAGATTGATAACTAAGTTGAGCACGAAGCTCCTATCTAATGGCAGACGTGCCAGTGTTATATAGAACCTTCGTTCTCTGAAGTCGACTTGGTCACCTAGCGACTTTGTCGACCGACTTATCGCCTGGACTACAAGTCGACCTGCATCATATCACGTGACTGCAACTAAATGAAATCCTTGGATCGGTTAGCCATCCTAACCAATCCCGNTATAGAACCTTCGTTCTCTGAAGTCGACTTGGTCACCTAGCGACTTTGTCGACCGACTTATCGCCTGGACTACAAGTCGACCTGCATCATATCACGTGACTGCAACTAAATGAAATCCTTGGATCGGTTAGCCATCCTAACCAATCCCGTTTTGCTATAAGAGCTATTTGTGACCGTGTGGAGTGAACCACTGCTTGCTGTGATGAATACGGAGTCAAACGGAAACTGCTATATAGAGCGAACAACTAAGTGAGGAAGGAAGAGAGTTTCAGAGGAACAGAAGCTTATATACAGGCTGCCAGCAGCACGCACGTGCCGTGCTGCTACACGTGATCTGCCCCCAATTCCTCCAACTCCGTAACACTATTGATGTGCTTGTCCTGTCAGGGCGCCACCTGGACTTCACTTATCACGTGCCGACACGTGATTCGTGACATATTCTTACTTTAAGAATATACTTAAATTATGGGAATAGAATAGGTTTAAAGAATAGATAGATTAGATAATGTTAGGGGTAAAACATAGAAGTTAGGAGAGGAGGTTAGTAAACTATACTAAAAAGTAGGGCAAAATTATTATATAAGATATTAGTTTTATATAAGATATAGTTTAAATAGGCCTTAGGACGGATTTTTTATTTAAATAATAGTATCTTATAACTTAATCTAATTAATACGGTACCTATAATTAATACAAATAAAAGATCGTTTATATAAGAAGTAGATAGTAAATATAGTTAATAACCTATATATACTAAGTACAAGGTAGCGAATATTCTATACACTAGGTAACGTTAGCTCTTTATATATACTATATAGAGAATAAACTTTAAGCTAGGAATAATTAGGTGAACAAATACTTAAGGTTTTAGTAAGGGAAAATAAAAATAAAGTTATAATATTTTTAATTATCTATTTTACTATAAGTTATAGTAGTTAGTTAAATAATAATCTTCTATTCTTTCTACTAGAAATAAACTAAAAGATAAATTAAAAGAGTAGATAACTAGGTTAGATAAATATTATAGTAGTAGCAGAAGAGAGCGTATACTATTAGAAGCGAGTACTGTAAAAGAATATACCTATAGAAAGGGAGTATATTTATAGAAAAGAAAAAATTAAAAACGTTTTACAAATAATAAACTATTGGGTTGAAAGGGTATTGGGTACTGAAGGTCATGGAGAATTGATTGCATTGTAAAAGGTAGCTATCTAAGGTGCTTTTATAAAGAGTGTAAGGTCTAGGCAGACATGAAGCATTTAGGCAGCAGAACTATAAGTGGATCAAATAAGGAAGTGGAGCAAAAGAGAAAGTAGACCCAGCACAACATAAACTTTATACTAAATTAGTTAAAATTATTTCGAGCTATCTAAAGGAAAATATATAAATGTTTTTAAATAGTATAACTTTTTAAAAGAGCAAGCTAAGTAGGTTCTTAACTAGTAAATAAAGAATACTAGATCCAGAAACGTTTCTTACTTGTTGGTTTAAGCTAGGTAAATCTTTATATATAGAGTAGAAAGACTTGTATTAAATCATATTAAGGGAACTGTATTCTTAAGCTACTTAAAAAAATGTTGAACTCAAGGCCGAAAGGAATTCTTTGAGTCTAAAAGTACACTTCTACTTTATCTAAACGACAATTCTATATCGTACCTATAATAAAGGAAATTCGCCAACACTATCCATGCTACTCGTTAAATGCTAAATCCTCACCAAAGTACCAACTTTACTACTTAGACGCGTGTTCATACAAAATCGTCAGCTTCGTTATCGTCCCTCTAATACCATACGATTCCCCTTTCTCTCCCTTCTCCTCTCGATAACCTTTCCCCCAAACTGCCCCATCATCAAACACACACCCCCAAGCACTACAACAAGGCCTGCCAGAGCGGCCGCCCCTGTATACCCCGCCTTCCCACTAATGAGCGCCCCCGCAATGGGGGGTCCAGCGAGTAATCCTAGCCCGTTTATTGAAACGGCGAGGCCAAGGCGAGAGCCGAATTGCGACATATCTGGCGTAATACTGCCGATTGTGGCGGGCGGGAGAGATATGAATGCCCCGGAGAAGAATCCGTAGACTAGTGTGTAGACTATTAACCCAGGGAGGTTGAGCACGAAGGGCCAGATGAAGATTAGGATGCCCCCGATGAGGACTACTGTTGTGTGGACGCGGAAGGGTCCAATTCTACTCATCATTAGCCACTTCCTTATGATCACATCTTTGTTCCCCCAACCTCTGCCACATGAAACTCAAAACTTGGGAAAAAGAAACACTCACTTATCAGCCACCCGATTTGGTATGATCCGCCCCGCTACCCCTCCAGTATTCAATAAACAAACAAAATAAAAGCTCGCCATCCCCTTCAAATCGACCCCCGCATCTCGCACCCGTCCCTGCAGGTAGTAGTACGGAATGTAGCACCCAAAGAAGGAACAGCACATTCCGGCTACGAGGACTGCGTACTTGGGGTCTTTGAGCGCGGTGAATTGAATGAGGGGCTGTTTGGCTTTTTGTGAGAGGTCGCGGCGCTGGCGAACGAGGAGGCTAGCCAGGAAGAGCGTTGCTGCCTACAAAAACAGTGTTAGTTGGTGGAAGTAGGCATGGAAGTGGAGAGGTAAAAGGTGTGAAAGTGAGACAAACAGCCATAAAACCTAAAATTCTGATAGCCCACCGGAAGCCGTAGTGTTGCAGGAGATACTCGAACACGATGGGGTATATGATTCCCCCAAAACTGGCACCTGTGGTAACAATTCCGGTTGCCAGAGCACGTCTTTTCAAAAAGTAGGTTGCTGGGACACCGACGGAGGTTAAGAAGGTGAGACCCATTCCTAGACCGCCTAGGACGCCTTCTGTTTATCGTTAGTATACGGAGTTGAGAAATGGATGTGGGCAGATATAGGTAAGGAGCGAGAGTGAAGACTTACGGGTGAGAAGGATTTGGTAGTATACCAGTGTCGCTCCTTTTGTGGACGTTTGAGGAAGTCCTTGCCCGGATATGGAGGTTAGGAAGAGTGAGGCTACTATTAGGATGGAGCCGACGAAGGTTAGGGTTTTGGCGTAGCCCATATCTACTGCTCTTCCCCACTGGGTTTTTGTTAGTCAGTTTTTTAAGGAACGCGTTTACACGTACAATGGCGCCAGAAAGGAGGAGAAGACATGACTGTGTCGAGCCTATCCAGGAAATGGCAGATTTTGTCCCAAGCGAGGGGGGTAGGTTGTAGTATGTTTGGAAGATTCCCCATGCGTTAACAATTCCCCTAAAAACAATAAGTTACTGCTTGTAATCTTCTGAATTCGAGACGACTTACCAGGTGCTGAACATTATCAAGAATCCCATTGCTACTTGGGACCAAGCTACGAAGCCACCATCTGGAAAAGTGACTGGCGGTGGAAAAGGCGGAGCTGGGTCTCCATCAGGAGACCATGGTGATGCGACGCCTTTGAACGTTTGTGAAGTATCAGGTCGTGGCTGCTCTTCTGGTACTACCAAATTGATGTTTAGAGTAATCAGAATTGGATTCGCTGGAGGAGTTTGCAGTGGCCATTGCGGTGACCCTCGTTTCTCCGGCACTGACACATCAACCGATACATTTATTGAACTAGTAGAACCCTTCTCGACATCGTGCGACGAAGGGAGCGAGACCTCGAAACTTTGTGTTTCCGACCTTGGGCACCTATTCTCTACATCATTCTGCGCCGCAAGCGAGACGTCAAACGACTTGCGTTTTTCCGAGCAAACTTGAACGTCCTCAGAATCTTTCTCCGCACTCTTCTTTTCTGGTTCCGAAATCATATCCGCTTGTCGTCAAAATTTGTCAAAAGGTGAAAAGGGCCGCGATAAACAGATGGAGGCAGTCCAGAGAAGACAAAGCACACCACACGTTGACATGGGGTGTCTGTCTTCTCAATGACACCCAATGACACGGACTAAAGCGGGGAACACAATCGCCAAGAAGGCTCCTAAATTCCGAAGGAAATCTAAGAATACCATTACCATCCACAGATTCGTAGTTGTTCCAGGTTCTCGCCCGAAGAGTCGCTACCAACTCCCAAAATCAAACTTAAACTTCGGCAATCTGTTTCCATGCCTCTGGGGTCCCTTGGAAAGGGAACAAACCTGTCCATGGTTCCGCGCCCCCTACTTCTCCAAATACCGTAGCTAAAAAGACCTAGCTACTAACTTCTCGTTATCCGGGTAACCTAGAAAAAGATATTCTCTGTATTATTTTTAATAATAATTTAATAATACTTTTGATATATTGAGACTATTATAAATTATTATAAAAGTATTAAATTATATTTTACTAACAATAAAACAGGCTAAAACAATTATGATTAAACTACTTTATTTACTTATTCATAAATTCGTCATTTATCTTGATATTTTTCTGGACGTTTTACACGATCTAGTAATGTTACCTCACTCTAGGTTTCTATATAGACTTTCATTTTCCTTGTTTCTTGGTTACACTGAGATCAGGGACGAGGTAGACCACGCTACGTAGTATCAGACGATAAAACCAGACGGTTTTTTACAAACTTGGATTCGCTTGCATATTATGTGGATTGTCATAAGATTCACAACACGCATGGCTGGACAGTCCACTAATTACCTCCACTTCTTCAAGACGAACTCCACCCCCTAGTTATCGGACACTGCCACAGAGTGGCAACCACGCCCTTTTCGACTTTGGGTATGTGGGGATCCGACAACCCTACGGAACCCTGGGGTCCGTACGGGAGAGGCGAAGATGCAGCATACTCTACAGAATTCCTGTTGTTCGGTAGATGCAGGGCATGGGGGCAGATCTACCTCACATGGCTTTCTCGTATCGGACCTTCCTCTGTCAATCCTTTCTCCGTGTTGTGTTACATGGCAGCACACTCAGTAGCAGTTTTCTCTCTCTCTCATAGCCGACATCTGCACCTCTGGCGCATTAAAATACTCTTTGGATCGTGGCGGTATGACTTGTCGAAACGAGTTTTTGTGTTTCCCGCTACGATAAAGGAGTTTTCCTTATTTTTTACCCAAACAGGTAGTAGCGGAAGGGACGGGATTACATAATTTAACCTGTTTATGTAAATCAAGTTTCAAGCAGAATTACCCCAGGTCACCGGCTTCTCGTGGCTCTAATGCTTAGCTTCTTTGACTTTCGCTAAGATTAAAGAAATAAAGTTGAATTGCGGATGTTCAATCACACCATCTGATGTGGAGTTCGGGTAACGCTTGTTGCAAGGGGAAGAAAAATTGCCGACCTGACCCACCCTACTAAACACCACACCTAAGGGTCTGAAGACCTCGGGGTAGGAATCGCAACAAGAACAGGTATCGGCCCTTAGGTGGGTATCGAGTTTCTGGTGAACTGGGGAGACATTCTCAAGCAGGGACTTGTTTCCACAACGTACTAGGCCACGTGCCTGATTTTCTTTGGGGGTACGTCGTTCCTGAGAAGGATCTTCGAGAAAGGCACCTTATGAAACGTGACTATTGCAGTTTTGACTTGTAAAGATTTGGGAACTCATAAATCATACATATTTCTATCGCTTGCTAAATCTAAACTACACAATATATTGTTGAAAGTAAACTGTGGGATCTTGACCAGCGAAGCCAGTATACATATCTGGTCTGATAACAACCGCGGAATTCTCAGCAAAAGGCGCGTCTGTGATAAGTCTTGCCCCCGACTCTGTTGTGACAGCCCATCCATCTCCATGTTTCTCGATGTTCCAGACTCGAAGTTTTCCTGATAACCAAGATGGGGCGGAGTATGTATCAAACTTGATCTCTGGTGATTTAATGACGACAAAGTCCCCGTACTTCAATAATTCGTAAAGGCGCAATTTGACAACACCAGCTTTCACAAAATCAATATCAGGGGAGCGAGCACCAGCTACAAAGTCTCCAACAGTCCCTTCGATAACCGTTGGTGCGTTGGGTGCATAAGTGATACCCATGCCAGTGATATTGTTAGCACTTGCCTCGACCAGCTCGACATACTCTTGTGCGGTTTTCAAGGTACTGCGGACTAATTTACTGGCTACATTGACGACAGAAGCAGCAGTAATTCTTCTTTCGGCATCGTAAGAAGTTAAGACATGTGGTAGTGCTGGGCCGGTTGGTGTTTGGGTTCTAATTGCGAAGTAAAGTCGCCATGTTAGTGCGAAAGCATCCGCTATCCCTGTATTGAGTCCTTGGCCTCCGTTCACGGCATGGATATGGCTTGCATCTCCTGCGAGAACAATTCGTCCCAAAGGAGACAGGAAAGTTTCTGCTACTCGTTCTTGCACTGTGGTAACTGTATCAGCTTCTGGATAATCACAAGAGAAGAATGAGCATACCATTGTATGTTGAGAACCATTCTGTTTTAACAAACTCAACTTTATATGGCTTCATGTGACTTCTGATTGACTCCTCGGATCTTTCTTGGGTGACTTCTCCATCGAGTAAGATGTAAAATCTTGCCATTCCCCTCTCTCTGTGGTGGGGTTAGCCAATTGATTCAGATCTATCCAGAAATCCCAATAAATTTGTAGAAGACATACCTAGGAATCCACGAGACTCTACTCTGACCATTCTCCTCGAAACTGATAATCTCATCACAAAGTGGAAAGTCGGTTTTGATAAAAGTATCCAGAACAGCCCAACACATGTTTGGCTTGTCCCCTACGAAATCGATGTTCAAGCCCTTGCGAATTTGGGATTGCCCTCCGTCTGCTCCAATGACGTATTTTGCTGTTAGGGTCTTTCTCTTGGTGACTACTGAAGCTCCGGTTGAGGTCTCCGAGAAAGACTCAACTTCTGTGTCGTAAAGAACGGCGACATCTAGATTTTTTACAAGAGCCTTCTCAACGTCGGATTGTCCAATCATGAGAAATTCTTTGTAGGCTGTGTTTTTGAGACTTGTCCACCACCGATTGTTGCGACTTTGGAATTCACCATCTTTGAAAATTGAACTCGCTTTTTGCAAGACTTATTAGTCTTACGCTGTAATTTGGAGGAAAGGAACATACTGTTGCATTGAAGACCAAACGGTCGAAGGTCTTTCAAGACACCGGCAACATCTAGAACTTGCTGCGTGCGGGCGTTTAAGGCATCAGCCCTCCCAAGATCTAGAGGGCCAGGCCGTTTCTCTTCAAAATTGTCAGTGAATGCCCTCTTCATACTATGAGTAGCGAGATTCGCTTACCTATAACGCAAACTGTGAGTCCCAACTGTCTAGCGAGAACAGCGGAGAAAAGTCCAGTTGGACCAGCTAGAGTTTTCAGTCAACATTAATATACTGCCAAGTACTAGGCTGGTAGATAAGTTACCTCCTACAACAATGAGATCGAAATTTGTTGACATTTTGCTGTCAGGACCTGTTTTGCTTTCTGGTGCTCAAGAGGAAATCTAGCGAGGGATGGTTTATGCCAGATAAAAATCGGTTCGGAAAGATAATTTGAGAGTAGGATCAGAACACAAGTAAATTGATATTTGTGAAAAGTGATGACTTCAAGCGGGAATCTATATCAAATATGCATCCCAAATCCTCCCTGACTCATACCTTGCGCGACACAAAAGATCACGTTTTTGGACCCCAGCAAATCGTGCCAACCCAACCCAACCTTCCCTTTCGAACACAAAAGAAAGTTTGCAGTATCATTCGCTCCCACGTCAGAACCCCACTAGTTCCCACCCATCTTCAGCTCCCGGCGAGGATTGTCATCTGTAAAGCACTACTTCCTCCCCCCCTCCCCGTAGTCTAAAAGGTTATTTTTCGGGTATGTGCCGCCACTAGAAAAATAACCTTATGTTAGGGGAAAGAAGATCCTGCATACAAAATAGCATTCGGTTCACCCCCTTTTTTGACATTTCTTTTCGATTAGAGAAGCATTGCCGCCAAGTTTTATTGTTATAAACAACGTTTAATATTGTGCTTATCACTAGGTTTTTAAATTGCAAAAAGGGTTGTATGCGCCATTTCAGTGACGGGTTATTGTGGAATACTGTAAGGTTAAGAATTAATGATAACTACCATCATGATATCAGAACCTACTACTTTACTAATGAGTGTAAGTGAGCCGCGGGCGAGAAGTCTGAGTAGCTTTGAATGCTGGTACTATATGGTATACAACTAGACTTAATTAAGCACTAAATTATGAGATAATTTGTAATCTAAATCTCATTAGTACTAACTACTATCAGGCCTCCTCCGCCTCCACAAGTTATTTATATGGCCTTGGCAACGATATCGCTTAAATACCGTCTACTATTCAGTACGAGTACAAATCTAACTACGAAATTGACAGTGAGAATCGGCTGTAAAACTTGCCTGCTCAAGAAAAGGCCGATTGATTAACAGAGCAGGTAGGACGACAGAGCCAAGGGCTATCGAACAGGAAGGATAGAAGACGGCAACTCCGAATCCAACTAAGTTACAGGTAGTTTTCGATAGCAAGCGAGTCGATGTAGGTAGATAATTGAATTCAGGATCAAGAGGTGTACCGTGTTCCTCTTTTCTGAGGATTGTGAGTGTTCGAAACTCGAAACATTCCGGGCAAGTTTTTTTCCGCAGTGCCAATTCTACTCGCCAACCCCTGTATTGGGGAAAATGACCGTTGTCATGGGGTTGATTGTACTGTACGGTTTCGCATGAGTGCCGCTGAATAGCGGTATTTTGGTCTGGGCCTTCACACGAAACCTCCCCAAGTACAGAGAACTCCACGAACTTGTGCCAACATCCAAATATTTGTGCGTGGCGAACGAATTCGAACGGAGATACTGATAGTTGTCACACAGGCCAACGTACCGTCCCAACTTTTGGGGCCGCGGATAAGTCTCAGCCGCCTCCCCGCGTTCATCCAAGCAATGTACGAAACGACTAGAGCCTCGCAAGAAATTTGGACCAATACTGAAGCTACCCAAAGAGGGCTCCATATGCTACAAGATGCCTGGATTGAAGTACGTTCTGGACCCCTGTAGAGTGAATGTAAGGTAGTCCAATGATGCGTGAGAGCCCTTAATTAGTGGAGACTTCAGGAAGTAAAAAACTCATCTGTGTGGATCTCGAGTGCAGCTGACTTTTAGGATAATTAACAGTGCATCACGATCGCCTGTAGTTGTGCCCATGCTCATGTGTACCGTGATAGAAGTATATCGATGATATAAAAGTTGCTGGGCAGAGTGGAGTAAGGCGGCATCCAGAAAAATAGGAACTGGAGCTCGCTAGAAGTCTCTTATCATGGTCGGACTTTAGACCTGGAGGCTCGGAGAAGACTCTTTTCTAAATGGCCTCAAATGTGGACTTGCCCATTTCAGTCTCTCCACCTTACTCCACTCTGCCATCCCAGCATTTTTATAACTACCTCGAAGTACAACTGATTACGGATAGCGTGTTTTCCAGGAATCGTGCGAAGGTACTCCAAACTTCCCCCTCCCCCCTAGACAGAGATTGTTTCTAACAGCTTCATGCACTAAGATATATATGGCAAGACTACCGTGCGCCCGCAGAACAATAGAGTTTATGATCAACATTTATTTAAGGGGAAGAGGGGGGAGAGTACCAACCAGGTTCTTTTCTGCAGTAGTGGCAGGTGCCACCGTCCACGAAGTTGGATTACTTGGCCGTCTGCATGGAAACCTTGAAAATGGAAGGTCAGTACCATCAGTTCATCTCAGCTTTTCCTGCGGGCCCCCCTCCACAACAAAGGCACGTGACATAAAAGTTACAGACCTTTCCATGACTTTTACTAGGTTAGTACTACGAGCCTTGTGCTAGAACGCCTAGTCGCTCCGCTAATTATTAACTTGTTATTCAATATATTCTAGTAATTAATAGAGTAGCTTAGTATCACGGGAGACCAGCGTATATATAGAAGGTTTAATATAGTATTTAATAAGTTCGATAAAGGAAAGAGAAGGAATCTTCTCGGGCTCTACTATAAAAAAGAAGTAGTCCTCTTAGTAAGGCTTAGTAAGTACTAGTATAGCTAGTACTATACCTAGGGGCTATGTGACGACACGTACGATATGTTGCTCAAGGAGCGTCCAAGCTGTAGGTTATGGAATCGTAGAACTGTCTATTCGAAGATTCTAAGCTAAGGAGAGAAGAGAAGAGAGCAGAGCTCGGGAGCCAGAGGTTCTTATATACAGGAGGTTGTGCCAAGCTATGGCTAACTGAGCCGGGCTCAGGAAGCACGGTATCCGCTGGGTTCCAGCCAGGGGCTGGTCTGAGGTGTGGTGGCGGTTAGAACCGTCACAGGCTAACCCCTTATACTTAGAGTATAAGAGCGTATAGTTATAACCTTAGTAGAGTAAGTTCTATTAAAATAATAAATAGAAAACTAAATTAAGTACTTCTACTAAGTTTTAAGAGTTAAAGTTTTAATAATTAAAAGAAGATAAATCTACTACTTACATAAATCTATAGTAGTAATAAAGTAGAAGATAGATTATAAGTAGATTATAAAATAATTTAAAGTTAATTCTTTATAAAGTTTATTTAGTATACTTTATTATAACGTTAAATATAAGGTTTAGCTTAATTTAAGTTATTAAACTAGCTAGAATAATACCTAAGGGCGCTATAAAGGCGTAGGCTAACTTACTACGTACTACTTAAGAGTATTAATATTAGAGATAATTATACGGGCTAAGATTAAACGTAGATACAACGAATACAAAATCGCAGCAGATGTAAATTCGTATACTTCGTCTTAGGCGCAACAAAAATTGAGACTACAGGGTTTTCACCCTGTACTCCACTCTACTGACCAGCCTCCTGTAAGCCCAACGTCTGTTATACCTGGGACGAACTATTAAGCATCGAGGGGATAGACGAGTGGAGAAGAGCAGGCGTCCCGGCATGGACCAGCCTTGGCACAAACAAGCTCGGCAGGTGCGGAATACCAACTACTTCGTACGTCTTACCAAGATTTGCTTGCTCTATGGATTTGCCTCGCCGGCTGGAAGTCGGGATTGGGTATCATGATATAGATAGAGCCAATAAGTATATAACATAGCTCTCTGATCTACAAAACAGACTTTCTTTCTTCATCGCAACGGCTTCTTTCTTTTAGGTCAGAAGACTTTCGTTTGTTAATTCAAGATCTTATTTGATTTTTCTATACAATCCTGAACCTTACTCAATAATCGACCTCGCGAAGTCTTTTTTATCATTGACGTACAAAGTCTTTCGACTCTTACCTGCGAAAGTTCTCTCGATCGCTTACGGGTACCACTCCACTACCTTCGTTTTCAAATTATAACCCAAGATGCTCTCCTCTGCGAGTCACAGCGTGTCTGTCCCAGGCAACCCTGCGAACCTGTGGAATATCTTATCGGAAAATCAACATATTCTCGAGGGGGCAGAAGTTCAACAACTCCCAACCGTACTCGATCGCAAGACTTCCAGCACTTCCTTAACGAGTGATAGTGATGCAGATTACCGTAGTGACTCCGCACACTCTGCCACAAGTTACGGTAGTTCTTTTACATGCGCCACAGAACGCTCTGACGATGATACCCCGACTGTCGAAACGCTCTTAGTGACAAGAGCTGCAGATGAGTTGCAAGCTTCATCCCCCGAAGATAATGAGCTTGCCAGCAAGATCATCAACATCTTGCGTTCATACTCTCCGCCAACTGAGAATACACTCGATAGATCCGTGATGGTTAGACTGGTTCAATCACGGGTAGCACGCAAGGAGAAAATTCATCTCATTCTTCCGGCCTTCCCTTTCAAATCGCCAAACAAGGTTGATAAAGTCCTTGGTTGTCTTCCAGATATGGGAGAAGAGATTGCACTTGCTACGCTCAATGGACTTTGCCAGCAGATTGATGAAGTGTATCCAGTTGGAGGCACCACAGTCATGGTCGTTTCTGATGGTATTGTTTACAATGGTATGTCGCTTATAACCTCAACACAAGTAATCAATTATCTAACAAAACACTCTAGATCTCCTCGGCGTTTCAGAAACCGAAGTCTGGAACTATTCAACCGCTCTCAGAAAACTCGCTGCTGAGAAGTTCCCTCACATTACCTTCTCTCGTTTGAGCCATCTCATCGGGGATGACTGCCCAGAGCCAAAGTCTTTGGAAGTATACCTCGAAAACGCAGACTGGTACAGATCTACAATGGTTGGGAGACATCTCAACAAGGACTTTGATGTAAGCCATGAACTGAAACACCACATCAACGCCCTCATGACATATCGTGGTTATATCAAGTTTCTTGGTGTAGATTTAGCCCATGAGCCAAGCCGACAGGGCAAAAGCAAATCCCAAGTGAAGAAGATGAACGAGAAGACTGCGAAGAAGATGATTGAGCGAGGAGCAGCATTTGCACTTGCACTTCAGAATGCCTTCCCAACCTCCGTCCGCATCTCCATCCACCAGTCGGTGTCCGAATACAAACTACCTATCGCTCTTCTTCCCGGTGCAGAAGCCTACATCACCCCATGGCACGCTGCTCCAGCTTTTGAACTTGACGGCAGCTGGAAATTCGCCCACAAGCACAGCTTTTCCAATGATGATTCATATGAGCTCATCTACAAGAACGACCAACCATCATATTACCGCAAGATATCTGACCTGTATTCTTGGGATAACGTAGCGATCGAGGTCACCCCAGTTCATCCTTGCGGTCTCATGCTATCCCCAACGAACAAGAACCAAGAGTTTAGCATGGAAGTTATTGATATGCAGAAGATTAGAAAATTGTCGGAATACAACTCTCCAATAATACTAAGAGGCTTCAAGAACACCACTGATCTTTCTCTGTTTACCCAAAAGGCTCGAGAGATGGGAGATGTCATGCCATGGAAATTTGGCGAAGTATTGGTCGTGAAGGATGCTGGCGAGAACGGGGGCGGTCTAAACAACGTTTTAAGCGCTGAGCCAATGCCTTTTCATTTCGATGGCTTGTTCAAAACGACCATTGTCAAGGACGAGAAGACCGGCGAGGACAAAGTCGTCCCTCAACCACCCAAGTTTGTTTCCCCATTTCTCTCAAGATTACTATACTAATGACATCCTAGGTTTCAATGGTTCACTGTCGCAACTCCAGCACCACAGGCCTGTGGAATGACGTTGATAGCCTCCTCTCGCCTTTTGTTTTCTCTTCTCCCAAAAGAGTACAACTTAGAGAGACTCCAGGACCTTACTTGGACAGTCTCAACAACTGCCTTCGACAATGCCGTGATACCCAGACTTCCCCTCGTCGAGCCACACCCTATACTAGCAACGCCTTGTATCCGCTATCACGAGCCATGGCCAACATCCAAGACAAAGTTCGATCCTACATATGTCACCATTGATGACATCAGCTCAGATGAGAGCCAGAAGATCACCGATGCTATTGACAGTCTTTTATACGACCCAAGAGTGTGTTATTACCATACATGGGTCGAAGGAGATTTGATCTTGAGTGACAACATCAGCATGATGCACACAAGATCAGAATTTATTCCCAATTCGCCACGAGAGCTGTGGAGGATCCACATCAATTAGATAGGCGGCATCGCCGAAAACTGAGGGGTCCATAGAGTTTTGCAGAGCTAATGAGAATTGGGAAGGGTTTCAATTTCAGCGACAAACAAGGTTGTACTTTTTGACATCTTGCGGAGTTTTGGAGTTTACAAGGAGTCTGTAACTATCAACAGTACTGTATATGATATCAATGCAAGCAAAGCAATAAACATACCTCGATCTGGAGTAAAAAATGTGATTCGCAAGTTTTCAATGGTAGACTGCTGGAGGTTCAAGTCATCCACATCTTCATTATCGAGATCTGAAGCCACTTTCAAAGTGGTTCGAGGCGTCCAGTTAGGCTCATAGACTAGACTTGATAGACAAGCAGGGGACCCCTCAAGCAGGCAACCTTCGAGAAGTGGAGATGATAATTTGCCAAGTCTTTTCCTGTGGAAGGGTGTCATAAATCAAGAATGACGGTAATATGGCAGAATAGCGGTGCGGCTCATAAATTGGCCAAATGAGAACATGACTTGGGAATAGAATATTTGGTTGTAAGATCCACACGGGAAAATAAATGAAATCCAAGAACGGTCCAGGATCAAGACGAAAATGATGGAAAATTGATCCAGCAAACACTTGTAAGACGGCTAGTAGCAGAAAAGAAAGGTGGTGGAAGAAGCAGTGGCGAAAGGAAATAGAATTGAAGAAGAATTGGCAATCAGGCCTCTTTATAATGTGATGAAAGCTATTTTTGACGGCTGTGTGGACATATGGCTGTCCAGACTTTTATGAAGAGAACATGCTTCATTATATACATACTTGAAAGCAATTGAGTCTATTCTGGGGGTTTTACGCGCACGTCCTACTACATTTTCTTCGCGCATATTCTACACTTGTTACGCACATGGCCGAGTTCTGTTTATAGAACCGCCAACGTTCTTCTCGCCCCACATATAAAAACCTCGGTTACCCCAAATCCTCGGCGCCCTGTTGTATTTAGAAAATTATATGACTCGGGACTTAGTTATCTAATTATTGACTATATCCAACAGGCGATTCTTATGATTTACTGTAATTTACTAGGAGTACTTTATAAGGTAATGCCCCTCAGTTGAGCACTTCCGAGCAAAAAGAAGCACGCGAATTGAAAGATTTGTTGAATTAACCCTGTTCGTTCCTACTCATCTTCTGCTTGTAAGTCTCCCATATGCGATCAAGTCAATTCAATGTCTTCCATTTTAGCTCCAAAGTAGTGGATTAAAATGGTAACTCACTTATTCAAACCTTTCTGTAAACACTCCATAGAAGCAGTATTACCAGCCACCCACGCCCAAGTCCCACCGCCACCAGAATGTCACCATCCAAAAGTCTCAAATCGCGAGCTCCGACACCGACAGCGGCATAGACCGATTAGAATAAGCAGAATTTGATTACGTGAATGCTAGATGAGGAATGCCCCCGGAATAACCGCCAGAGTAAACATATAATAGAGGACAAGTTGAAGAGCACGCGTGGAAGACTTGTTGAGTAGTTAAGGAGACATATCGAGTATTTTGAATTGTATTGTTGGTAAAGGAGGCTAGGTATACGTGAGCTAATCAGGCTTTACGAGGACAGTAGAGGCCCTTACAATAGATAAAAGAAAAGACCGCATTGAACAATATTCCCCTTGTTGATTGTTCCCAAATCGACTGTAATATTCGATGCGTCCTCTCTTTACGCAGTTATCTGATATCAGCGGAAGCAGGTGTAGGTAGAAACGGCGTTTACTTGATTATAGTTAGTTCTTAAGCAATAGGCTTTTGCATAGGATCAACAGAAAGCTCCCGATTAGTACTAAACCCCCTAACCTACAAGCCAATTACGACCGTAGCGCGTCAAGATATTATAGTTAGAAAATACGTCCCTTATAAAATCCAGCCTTTACAGATTTAAGTGTACATGTACTTCTTCCTACGTGACACTTGCTTCCACCGACCTTAAGCGACAGCGTAGAGAAAGGACGCATCCACTATTGGGTGATCAATCTGAATCTTTTAGAATAATTCCTTTTCATTTATTTAGGATTTACGGTTTATTATCTTGCAACTTTAGACGTCTAGATGAATAAAATAACTCGAATCATGTCACGCTAATAATAGAGATATTTACTACCGTAATTCCTATCTACTGGGAGGCTGTTTAATATCCAAGATCTCCGCTATAGAAGTGGTAAGCCTATATTTGTCTTTTTATTATTGTTTATACAGAAGAGTTCAATACTCGGGAGTTTTATTTTATCCAAAGCTAAATTAACATAATATACATTTTTTCTTTGTAATAAATTCAAGTGTAACTTGCAAGATAAAGAAGGCTTTAGTAGATTAACCAAAGTCGGTATTTAACCTACGTCGGGAGTAAAAGAAAATGTATTAAATAGACTCTTTTATTCTAAGAACGATAACTTTCAAGGTCCGGTTCTCATGGTGTATTGTGAACGTAAGAACTTAATATGTGAAAGCTTATTATATTCATTATAATCACAAGGGCTTCCAAATTCAGCTAGAGTAGGGTCAAGGCTAAGAATCGCCTCAAGGGCATAGAGATAGAACCCAATACAAACAATAACTTCAACGTAACCCCTAAGCCAAACTTGACAACCAACATCAATCGAAACAGAGGTATTTGAACTGGCGAGGGTCTTTCCAAATATAAAAGCTCTTATTCCTCCTGTAGCATTATCAGGCTTACATTACGACACGACACCATCTGAACTAGGTAGTTGAAATTAGTCTCGATCGATGACATTAGTGAGTTAGACGTTTCAATTTACAATAGCTCATTCCAAAACATTACGAACTTCAACATTTGAACAAAGCGGGACCTGGTATGGTGTAACCTGTAAGAGTCTGGTAGATGTTGATCAGAATTCCGGGATCGGTCGCCTTGTATGCGCCTGGCAATGAAACAGTAGTTGGAGTTTTTGTGCCTTTTCCTCCGCTGATATTGATTTGAGCACACTCCATGTATAGCTGCGCACCCCTGACAGCTATTAGACAAATGAGATAACAATTTGTGTCTATTATTGAAGCTTACCCCGATGATCCGGCTGCGTGAAGAGCAATGAGCTCTGCTCTAAGCAGGTACTGACCATCCGCAGTACATGCAGGAATGGTGATACTTTGCAATCCAGCATTTGCGATGAGATCTGTTACGCCCCAGACTTGCGTAACATTATTGTAGCCCTGCTCTTGAATCTTGAACCAACCCGATCCAACACCAGAATCCTTCTTAGCGTCTGAAACCTTTTTAAGATAGGCAGTTGTTGGACCTTTGTGAGAAGCATCGATAACGTCGGTCGCGTCGCTCTGAAGGGTGTGTCTCCATGAAGCTTTAACTGTCTCGCCAGCTTTGACATTAATTATTTCAGATGAGGACATCGTGGGGTTTGGTCCTCCATTACAAGCAACATATTCGCTCGTAACATCTTGGATGGGACCGTCGTAGCTTGGGGTTCTTATGGCGTGACTGACTGGGTATGTCGTTCCTCCAGCTACAAGTTGTGAGAATATACTGTGCGCTGTTGCCACAGAAGCAACTGAAGCTAGCAAAGTAACCCTTTGGAGAAACATCATGAGGAGGTATTTGAGAGTCCGAAAGCTTGAAGTGAGAAGTATGTACGTCCCAAGAGATTGAACGAGGGACCTCGGTATAAATAAAATCTCTGAGTACCTACCCCCACGAACTAGAAATAGACAAAGGCGACGGAAAGAAATATACCAACCACTGAAAAATCATGCCGAATTTTGAAACTGACTTCATCTGTGACTCCGTTTTTGAGACCAATCCCTTAGCATCCTTTCACTGGATAAATAGCGAGCAAAGAAAAAATTCCGGTAGTCACATAATCTAGATTGCGATACGCTGGGGAATTGATGAGGGCTGTGAATTCATTCGCAATTTATTCCAAGCCATGTGCTCATCACGACAAAACAAACTGCATTGCCATGGCGCCGAAATCTGCGTGCGAGAAGACAACATAGAAATAAAATAGCAGCACACAAACGCAGTTCAATTCGGGAAAAATCAGTCTATGAAATCTTTTTCAGTCGACTCTAAAAAGGACAAAATGAAAGTAAGTCATGGTCGTTTGAAGTCGTTCTGTATAACTTAAAAGAAAAAATGCAGGCCGTTTCAACGTACCAAGTTTTGTTGCTCGTATACGTGAGGCGTCACATGGCGTTACTGGACCGCCCTTCTGTGAGAATTCCCCAGTTTATGCATGTAGGAACCTCATGGTAGCTCTAAAGTGGTGTGAAGCAGTGGAGTTCGAAGTTCCGCTCCGAATGGGGAGATCTTCATGGCTAGGATAAAACCGGCAGAATGGGACCTTGAACCTCTGAGCAGAACGACCTCCAATATGGTCACAAGACATTGGGCTCAGAGCTATGAACATATGTTGGGCCGAACCTGCATAGATTTACAATACGTATCTGAGGCGATAAATCATGGCCTCAGATCCTTCAAAGTGTAAGTCATTGTGTGGTTCCAAGAGGTTTGAATCGAAAGTCGAAGACTTCAGTACGTGAATGACCGGGCTGAACTGGGGAAATAAAGAGGAATGGGATATTTTCTACGGTGCTTCAAAGGGGAGACCAACTATTCAGTAAAATCCCTGTGCATAGGCCTTGAGAAAAAAGATTTGGTACGTTGCAGAAAGTTCAAAGTAAGGAAGTGTATGCTGGTATTAAGCTTGTAGTTGCTTCTCAGTCGGCAGTAGCATAGGATTATAAAAAACGAGCACATTGACGGCTGATCACAATCAGATAATCTAGAAAAGAAAAACAGCATGTCGCTATAATTATTTATGGACTATAGATGGTTTCGTAGTCAGCTAAAGAATTATTTGAGTAGTGCGGAGCCATGTCGGGCCGAGCTCTAGCTTACCGGGAAACTCGAATAATCGGGCCGACCTCTCCGATTTCGCCGACTCCGCTGGTTTTCGGTTATTTTTCCCTCACGCTTGTACTAACCACGATAATTGAGGAGTTTTATTTTACTTCGGAGTGCGAGCTACTCCACTGATAATCATGAAGTAAAGTACTCATTGTTCCAATTACCCATGCTGGCCGGACCTTCTGTACATAAACAAAATGGAGCAAACCACAATTAGAGGATTAAGAACGAGTCGATTTGGACTCTACTTCTGGAGTGGGCATTTCTTTGTACTATCAATGAAGATGCTCACTACGGCAGTAACTCTTTGAGCTCTTGGTAGGCTACGCTACTTGAGGTGTTTCAAAGGGAGTGCAAACGGAACGTGAACGTTGCTCAACAAAGAAGCCATGATAAACAAAGGGGATAATATATACACTCTGATTCGAAATCACCAAGGTTAAACTTTACTCGGCTAACGCATGAACAATACAGAGTGTCAAGTTCTCCCCTGGAAACTTGGGAATATCATTCAATATGTCACGCTTTGGAGGCAAGAATTTTGGGACCAAGAATCCATACGATGCGTTGATGGAAGGCGCAGAAGACGACAAGGAAACCGCGGAAGACGAAACCCCACCAGCCAAAAAGCCGAGATTCGAAAAGCCGAAAGTCAAGGCACCCCAGCCCCCGCCAACCCCCGCCGCAATAACCAAACCGCCCCCAAAAGTAAAAGATGGAGGAAAGAAGATAACAGCCAAGGGAGACGAGGGACAAAAGGAAGAAACTAAAGGCCCCGTCGTGTTGACGAGGCCTGAAGGCCAAAACCCAGGAATCGGCTCAAATGCCGTCCGACATTATGTTGGCCAGGGTAATATGGGCGTCATTATCGATGGGCGGCTGGACGAGAAGGATGGGCACACAGGACCAGCAAACGACCAAGAGACCCTTCTCATTCTCAGTGACTTTTTAACAGCTGTCAAAATGGGAACTACTGTACGCTTGCCCCAGTTGTTAAGAGAAATGGCAATGCTCACACAATTCTAGGGCGATTACCTACTTTATGGCTATAGTACCAATAGATTGGAGTTAAAGAAAGATAGAAAGAGGGTAATGCAAAATGCAGCTGTTCTCAAGTTGGCTAAGACAGATTTATTATACGTCAGTGACGGAGGGCACTTCCACAGGGCTCAACCAGATATTGACAACAAGTCAAGAGATAGGACTAGTCACACAACTGTCACGTTAATGGATAGAAAATCAATGAGAAATACCCAACCAGGCAAGGAGTATTATACACAATTACAGGTTCATATTTATATTAATGAAGACACTGGAAAATACAGGGGATATTGCGTAGTTATAGAAAGGGAGGCACTCCAGGTTGGGCGCAAGACCGAAATGTTAGAAGGTGGCTACGATACGAAGAAAGAGGAGAACAATTCGAAGAAACACTCAATCTTGTATCTCCGTATCATCTTGAGCCTCCACCTCCCCCCCAAACGTCCAGCCAACTCACTACTGCCTCTGGATCATCGGGCCAGCGCGCTGTTTCTTCCGGATCGTCTGGTCAGCCTCCTACTTCCTCCGAGTCGACTAACCTAGGCACCAAGAGGACTTTCGGGGGAACTTATAAGCCTCCTGGGGCAAGGACAGCCGGTACTAAAGACACAGTTGAGAGGACTCCTACGAAATTCGCAGGAACGGGGGCTTATGTACCTCCTGGCCGCCGGGCGACCAATACCCCACAACAAGGTTCAGGAAGCGAGGCTCCTAGGATAACGGGAGATAGATGGGCAAAATTGGGAGACAAGAGAAGGACTTTTGGAAGCGGGAAAAAGTAATAAAGATACTTTAAGATCGGGTTTATGTTTTGTTTGAATGAATGTATAGACCTTTGTATTATTGAGGAGGATTAGGGATTGTACTTTTCAATCAGGCAATGACGATATTTACAAACAACGGTATTCCTGTCTTTTAACAGCCACCATTTACTCAGTCTAACTACTCTCGCTCTGGGCACCTGGAAGCCACATGTAAATCCCGTACTACTTGGCCCGTGGGTAGTCATAAATTACGTTGTGTTAATTCTTTAAAGTGCATTCGGAGCAAGCTATAGAAAGTTATTTTACAGTATTATTTTCTAAATTTCAGAATAGTACAGTACAATCCCGGAAATATATGGAAGAGTGTCGTTATCTAGAAAGATTGCTTACGCCTATCAGAATCTACAACTTATCAAAAGTTAGGAGCTGTGGTAGACTAAGATAAAGCTACGAGTAGGAATACTAATATCCAAAACGGGATTGTGATAGGATATCTATCTGCCAAAAGTCAGAAGACATCAAAAGGAAACGCAAAATCCTGTTTGTTGTTGCTTTCTTGATCAAGACGAATCCTCCCAACCTACTACAGTAATAAAGGTTGTACCGTTGTTTTCGACCGCGAAATCCAAATCCATTTCTTGCAATTGAACTCTACTGTTCCGGCAGGGAAGGCACTACAATTGTGAATCAAGCAGTTAATCGGATAGGCATTTGAGCATTCTTTCAGTGGAGTGTTGCTCATATCGTGTGTATAATTACTTCGTTATAGCATCAAAGCGATGTCTTCGGATTACATACATTAATGTCTCATCAAACCGAACGACAACCAGCCCCCAAGCAAGATAACGAGCCGGCGGCTCACAAAATTTCCGACATTTGAAAGCAAGTGTGAATAAGTGTGAAGCAAAGTTATAGCAATCTCGAAACCATTCAGCAAAAGTAAAATGTGCATTCCATCAAGATGATTGTACGCGCAACGTTGGGATTTCAGTAGGCCTTTGGTGGTGTTGAAGGCTTGGTTGAAATCATTTCTGCGGGGTGACTTTGACAGTACATCGCGAGGTTCAAGAGAGTTGGGATAACCTGCTGATAAAGTTAGAAATTGAAGCTGCACACGATGGAACGTTTTGATTTCCAATGTGTGGGAGACTAACATTTGGAAAGGAGTCGACTTGGCAGCATAAATCCTCACCGACAGCACATTCCGCATCCTTCTTACCTAAGCATAACAGTATCAGCCAGCAGTGCCATTGCCGCACCATGTGAGCGCAGTAGATAAATTTGGAAGATTACTCTGGTTGGAAGTGGATGAAAAACAAGACTTACAGTAGATTCCATTGACGCTATTGTGATTTAGGCGAAAACCAATGATCGGTGCAAGCTCTTTGACAAGGGGTACACCACCATCAAAAGTACTTTGACAGCACAATCTTGAGCCTCCATTGATTTTCTCACACTCGGTTGACGGATGATTGGTGACCAATTCTGGAGCCGGGTAGTCAGCAATAGGGAGTGGTTGAACGAGATGGCCAACAAGTCCAAGAGATTCAAGAGAAACGGCGTGGGTTGCCGGGAGGAACGTCGCAAACAAGATGACGAAGACGGTCTTGGGGATGAGAGACATTTTGCTGGATAGAGAGGGGAACGTGGATGTTATGGTAGTTTTGTACGAGATAGACGCGGTTTCCCGTCAGTAAGAGAGTGTGTTTTGGGGTCCAAGAGAAGGGAATGCCTCCTAGGAACACGAGTGGATGCACAGAGTGGACGGAAGTGGGAATTTTGAGGAGGACACCAGAAGACGAGTATGCAAGGAGAAAACTGGGAGTGGGAGCTTCTAGATTCAGAGAGGAAGGAGCCACGGAGTAAGAGTTTCACTTCTGTCTCTGAAAGTTGAAGTTGCGGTGTCAATATGCATATGGAAAAGGAAAGAGCAGCCGCACCTAGCACAATATAGGAAGTATGTATCTACTTTCGAGGCCGCAACAAAGATGATCACTGTTTATACGATGCCCATCACGCTTGTGCCGGAGGCTCATGTAAACAGAGGCTCGTATTTTCCCACTAAGGTGTTTTTGTATGGCATTGGCATGTCCTTAGGCGAGCGGGTTCCTGTCAATAAAAGAAAGCTGACGCTAAATTAAACCCACAAATAGCCGACTGGAGTTTCATCTACTCAGAAAGCAGCTAGAAGCGACCTCTACGTACCCGGTATAGGTGTCTTGCTGCCTTGAAAGTCTTGTATTGATGGAAGTTGACAGAAGTCAACGTCACATCGAGATCGGTTCGTTCTAAGCGTGCGGGCAATACCCATATCAGAACCAGGGGGGTTCCGGAAAATTCCCAATACAACCTCACTACGTTCTTCCCTTGACATCAATCCTCACACTAAAATTGAGTGTCAACAAAATGCTGATATGAGGTATGGCCATTCACTCACTTGGCCATATACCCACTCTGTGAATGCCTTCTCCTTCAGCCATCCCGACCATCGCCCCCGCAAAGTCGGGCCATGGCGTCGCGTAACATGACACCAAGTCCAGCCCAGACTTTGTTGAGTCTCTTCGTGTTGCCAGCAGCATCAGAACTATATTAACCAAATTTTGATCCCTTCGCCAAGCACCGGTGCCCTATGTGTTGTGCTACAACAATCCACTCGAAGACACATTCTTTGGTTCTTGCTTGGAGAGGTAGATAGATGTACGACGGTGTGTAGGTACCACATTGCCTCATCGGCCTTCTGCGATGCGCTTCTTCCCCAGGCCTTGGAAGCTTTTGAACTTCTTTTCCACGTTTGATGCACAACGGGTATCTGCGGAGGGTTTGCGTAAGTTTAGATCGATCACCGGTACTTTGCATCGTTTAAGAACCTTACACAACTCTCTAAGATTGCTCTGCCACACTGTTCTTCAAATCCGCATTTACACACCTCTTTCCAGAAGCCAACACTGTCAGTCATACCCTGAAATAGTTCTTCAGTCCGTGAGGTACCCCCCTATCGGTGCTGAACGTGGTCACGTACTACTCGGTTCCATCGCGGACGGTGGCGTAATGTTGCAGATCACAATTACTGGAGAGAGTCGACCAGAAGCATCAGCTCTGCTCTACATGCACCTGTGATCTCTCCCGATGAGGCGAGGTTTATGGTCCATGGTGAAGACCTTGCAGCGTCGGCAACGGTCTTTGAGAGCCGACGTCGAGGGACGCTAGAAGGTCCGTTGTCCGACGTTCGAGTCGTTTTTGCAGCATCTCTGTCATGCTGTGCTCAACGGTGCAGCTGCAGACCTTTATGTTGGTCAACCACAGGATGTGCTGGAATCTCCCCGCAAAGTGAGTCTTGAGATCATCGGGGAATATGGACCGTTGAGAAGTGGCTTCGGAAAATTCCAGGGTCCCAGGGTACTTCATTTATTTGACTGGCAGGTCGCATATAGTCCCAGACATGCCAGGCCAGCATGAACGGATGTTGTGGCAAGATTTGTAACCAAGAAGCAGCGTCTGCGTATCAATCCATTTACTTGAGCCCCAGAGTGACGAGTATCGCCAAAAGCTGCCTCTTCAAACCTGTTGACTCGGATCACAAAACCCTTCCGGCTACTTACTTTTCGAGCTTACCAACTTAAGTTGTAAAGCTCGGCCTGCTAGGAGCTGAAGCCGGGTTTTTCTCCTCTTCACTCCGTTTTGGCAGGTGCGATCTTGTACCATCCCAGCCAGTGCCAGTTTTGGATTGCAAGCTCGGCTAAAAGTTCCCCCTATCCACTCACTCATACTCCCAATAAATACCAAACCAAACTATTGGACCTTGATTAGGCTTCTTGCCCAGGTCTTGCCGCACAAGGAAGCTGGAATAAAATCCCTGTGCTCCCCTTGCCATGCTCATCTATCATGAAAGCCCACGGCTCTCTTTGACATTCAATCTTCACGCAGAATCTTCCAAGCACCTCTCGTTACAATTCGGTCCGCAAGTCCTGCGAGATCACATTTAAACACCCCGACTCTACTGTTCCCTTCTTTTAAACCTCCATAAAACATACTCGCTTCCAATCATCAAAATCATGATTCTCATTCATCACCTACTTCCTGTACTCGTTCCCATCGGTGTGCTAGTTTCCCTCGCCCACTGGCTCTTCTGTCGGTTTTTCTGGCGTCATGCCATCCCAGCGACAATTCCATGGGCAGGTAGCCATGATGGTAAACCTCTCTCCCAGGCTCGGGCAGTAATCCGCAGCTTATTTGACACTCGTGGCCTACTCGTCGACTCGTACGTAAAGGTTCGTCCTACTCACTTGGTTTCAGAACAGAAAATAATTGGTCACAGTACTCCCAAAATGGTTTGCCATATGTACTACCGAATCTGATCCAAGGTCCAGAGGTTATTTTACCTCAGACTATGGTAGATTGGTTATTGCAGCAGCCCGATAGTGTACTTGATCAAAATGAGGTCAACCGAGATTTTCTTCAAGCAGATTTCACCATGCTTCATCCAAAGGTGGCAACCGACACAGTTCATGGCGAAGTCATCAAGAAGGTTCTTACCAGACGGCTTGGTGAGTTTACAGGTGATGTCCTCGAGGAAGTGGATTTTGCCTTCAGAAGCGCTTGGGGAGTCGACACCGATGACTGGAAGACTATCACTGCTTACGATACCATGTCGGAGGTCATCACACGAATTTCAAATCGAGTGTTGGTTGGCTTACCACTCTGTTAGTATACCTAATTCAGTCTGTATCCGCGCAACAGCTAATCATCCTCAAGGCCGCAACGAAGATTATCTTTACTACTCCTCTAGATTCGCTCGGTTTGTGATCCTAGAGTCCGCTGCGATCCATCTGTTCCCACAATTTCTGAGACCGTGAGTCTGGTCATACTAGATTTCAAACCCATGACTGATCCTTCTAGGTTCGTTGCACCAATTGTAACGCTATTTGATTATCGACGTTACCTTCGCATGGCAAAACACATCATTCCCATTTGGAAGCGTCGAACATCTGCTCCAATGCAAGATGACAAACAAAAGGTGACTATATCTCTGCACGCCCGAACATCATGACCAAACCATTAACCGATATTAGAGCGATTATGTCCAGTGGTGTCTCGATTTCGCAGATGACCGACGTGATCCAGAGGAACGATCTAGTGACATGATCTCGAAGAGACTTGCTGCTCTCACCTTTGCGGCAATTCAGTCCTCAGTCATTACTTCCACTAACCTCCTCTTTGACTTGGCAGCCAGTGATCAAACCCCTGAGCTCTTCAACCTAATTCGCAAGGAAGTGGATTTAGAACTTGAATTTGAGAATGGTGCTTGGAACAAAAATTCCCTCGCCCGTATGGTAACACTTGACAGTGCACTACGCGAAAGCATGCGTCTAGGAGGGTTTGTCAGCCGTGGAATTCTGAAAACAGTTGCTGCAAAGGATGGTATCAAACTCCCTGGTCCTGACGGCGCACATCTGCCTTATGGTACCAAGGTTGGTGTCCATGCATATCCTGTCCACTATGATGAAGAGATCTATCCTCGAGCAAAGGAGTTTGATCCCTTGCGATTTTGTCTCCTCACGCCTGAAGAAAACATCGACGAAAAGACTTCGAAGTCAGGAATTAGAGGCATACCTTTAGTCAACACTTCTCCAATTTTCATGGGATTTTCTCATGGCCGCCATGCTTGGTAAGATCCTGGGCCCTCCTTTTTACAGATGAACCTTTACTAATTCTTGCATCTCACAGCCCAGGTCGGTTCTTCGCCACTCAGCAGCTCAAGCTAGTGCTCGCATACGTGGCGCTCAATTACGAAATCTTTCCCATTCCCGTACGTCCTCAAAACAAGTGGCTCATCGGAAGTTCAGGACCTCCATTAGATGCGACAATCACAATCCGTCGTCGAAAAGGAACCGTCGCATGATCCACCGCACTTCCCTCATTCCCACAGAATCGCTACTTGTACACCACCCATCTCTCTTTTGTTTCCTCGACGATACGCGAATGATACCCTGAAAATATCTCTCTTCGAACCATAAAGACTTTCCGGTTATTGGATTCATTACCTTTCCCGACTTTTCTTTTTAACTTTTATTGTTGCTGTCTACATTCAAAGAGCTAAAGACTCTACAATTTGGTAGACAAGAATGGTTTAGATCATACACAGGCTATTAGGCTTCTTCTTTGTTCTCAGAATGGTATTTCGACCTTCGCTCTTTTCTCTTTTCTCTTCTTATTTGCTTTTGGGTGGAGGGGACTTTTTAGTTGTGGAGTGGTGGTGGTAGTTAATGTCTCGGTGTTGTGGTGTTGTGCTTTCTATCTATCGATATTTTGGCGGGGGGTGAATCTGATTCTTTGTTTGTTGGTGGTCTTCTTCAGTTCTTCTGTGGCTTGTTTGATGACTAGAATGGATGGTAGATGATGCGATGCAATTAACAGGTTAGAGACCTGAAAATAAGTGAATAGAGATCTTTTCGTCTGATTTTAGACTTTCGCTTATCTAGATTGCTTTTCGCTTATCGCTACCCCATGTATTTTGTTCAGCTACTTCCTCTAGCTAGACAAGGGGCTAGGTAGTTGTTGTGGAATTATTCATACATCTAGCGTGTTTCAGTCTTTGAGATTACGATATTTTCCTTAATCCTTGTTGGCTTCAGCTATATTCACAGTTTACTTACTTGAAAGTTGTTTACTGAAACCCATTCACACCCTTCCTGGTCCTTTATATCTAGTGTCACCCAGTGAATAGTGGGCTTCGTCAACTCATCGCTTTGTGCCCATCATTCATTGGAGCTAGTACGAACATTCAGAGCTGGCTCAGTGCTTTGTAAATGGCAGGATTAGACTATCAAGGAGAGGGCATTTAGTATGCTTCGTCTGATGGCTGTGAGTCGAGATTTAGATGGTGAGTTATGTGATTTCAGATGTGAGAGGACTGGGTACTTGGTTGGGGGTTCTTCCACTTGTTATGGGCGGGATGTTGGATTTTGGGGGAGAGAGGAGGGGAGGGGACGTTAGGATTGTTGGGTGAAATGAAGAAAGTCTTTCTGGATGGAGTGAAGCGAAGCTTGGAGGTCTGGTGACGCTGATAGTGAGTGTGTCGTCTTGTTCTAAGTATCCTCTTCATACATAAATAAACAAGATTCTATGATTGCAAAGTTGAATTCTGGAGTATTGTGTTAGCGGATGAGAACCATCTATATCAGACGGATTTCACAAAGAAACGTGGCCATTAATCAGGACATCCCCTCAAAAGAAGATATTGTGATCCTAAAGACTTTACATTAATAAACTGACTGTTGGGCTGAAGAGTGTGGTGTACTGAAGGTCATGGAGAATTGATTGATTGTTTGAGAAGCTATTATACAGAGTATTTATAAGGGAAGGAAAAAGGGCAAGATGAGAAAGAAAGGGGTAAATGAGAGGTGGAGCCGTATCTCAATACGGACGCTGTACAAATAATAATACAATAATGAATAAGTGGATTCCACATCAGGTGATATGGTGGATCCAGCACAACACTGACCATTCAAATACTTTAGATAAGTAGCACTTCTTAGACTCACAAGGGCAATCAAGTTGCATATGCGAGGTATTGTGTATATCGTTTTCGTAATCTGTGCAAGGTATAGTAATGAACATGTCACTGACATTGTCATTGGTAAGTCTTTTCTACTTGTTATCCAAATTTCCCTTAACTGTATCTTGAACCCCTTTCTTCATTCCCCTTTTTGATTAACGAGCTGATGACTCCTTTCTGTTTTCCTGGATGCTTGATATATGAATACACTTCTACGGGAACACTAGGAGTTTGTGGGCGTCAACTTATAGGTGAAGTTTCTACGACGAAATAGAGTAACTAAAGACTCAGCAATTCATAAGACTTAATTCGCGCGAGGGTTAGTAGATATTATTGATCATACTGTGAAGTCAAAAGCAAGGATAAAAGTGGAAGAAAGAAAACTCCATGCATACATTGGCTAAAGTAGATTCTAGAAGACGCATTTTAGATTCCTGATACGCGTAATTCCTGTATACGCCGATACAAAACCGGCACACCACTTTCATATAACTTCTTGTTCTTTTTCTTTCCCTTTGACTTTTTCTTGTATGCCCTTTTCTCATCCAACTTCTTCTCCTCATATTTTTCACTCCGCCATTCCTTCAACCACTGGGCAAGACAGACAAAAATTGCACCTATTATTACTGATATTGCTTATACCATACTTAGTAACTAATCTTGAATAGCTATATGTTTATCAAGAAGATACTGAGGACACGCAGTAGAAGTACATACCGACTGCAAACAGTCCCAGGAAAGCTAAGCTAGCACAAATAGAATACCGTAAGAAGCCGAAAATCAAAGTGAACCATATTCCTTTGTCTACCACGTCTCCAAAAAGAAAAGGTAAAATTGCGGATTCTGTGATAATTTTCGTGATGGGACTTAGGGCTACCATTTTTGCTCAGACTGTAGCGTACGTTGAGATTGGAAATGTCGGTTGAGTTATGAAGGGTGGTGGTCCGGAGTTCGTGAGTGTTGAGTTTGCGGTAAAGGATAAGGCTGATTAAATACGTCGCTGGTAGAGAATAGGCGATTGGAGATTTTGTGTTGGACTTGTGGATTAAAGGGTGGTTTGGTGTCAATTTGATTTTGTGTAGAATTTGAGACTTGCGCTTTTGTCTGAGAAGGAGGGGAGTCGGTGAATATTTTGGGTAGAATGAATTGTTAAAGGTATTGTAGTTTGGGAGCTTAATGAGATCGCGCCGAGCTATGGGTATCTTGACGCTGGATTGTTTGGTCATTTCGGGGTTTGGCGTCATTCCTTCGTCAAACAGGTTGAACGACAAGATTTAGCGCGATGGGACTAGTATTAAGTGTACTCGCAGTGGACATGATACGAAAAGACAATTGCAGTAAGTCCTCTTCGATGTTTTACTGTGCGTATCTAGAGCAAGTGAGAATGATTTTAGATTCTAGAATAAAGAAAACGCTTGTTCGAGTTGGCCATGTCAAGTGAACGAGCTAGTCTAGACGACCTAGGGAAATGACCTCGGTTAGACTAGAAAAAACATACAATAACGAGGTAGCTATCAACTGGAATTCTGAAGGTTACGGGCCAAGCGAATATCTTTTCTGGTGTGACTTAACAAGTTATATCAAAGTAATGTTTTCCTACATTGATCGTGACGTTCTATTTCGGTTCATAGAAACCCAGGAAACGTGTGTGTTAAGTTGAAGTCTCAGAACCTTCCGACTTATCCCTTTAATCTGTTATTCGCCTTTTACATGATACTTGAGTTAGAGAATGAACAGCTTCAACCAGGAGATCAGCAGCATTTTGCAAGGTCACGTGTTTCGTTATCCGACAGTGCAGGTGTCCATGGCCATCCAATAGGCATTTTACCGTGCACCCTCGAGAAGACAATTCTAGATATTCTAGATATTTTAGATATTCTAGATATCTCAAACTCTTCCACTAATAGATAATTATGGTTCGTGGCTTTTTGTCATCCCAAAACGTTCGTATAATTGATTTCATTGTTCGACACTTTCTGGAACAATGATACCTGTTTGAATATATCCAAAATATAACTGAAAGACGAAGCGAATGGGATGAGGTAATCGTTCCGCAGCTAACGATTTGCAGGGATTGCTCGAGGTTGATATAGAAAAAGAAATCAAAAAAACGGGACCTACTCGCTGTAAGGTTCCTTTACATCCGCAAATCGCCGAATACGCGTATCGGAAGCGAATTACTTGCACCACGTAGTAAGCGGCGCAACTGATCACGATCAGCAACTTGGCGTCATACTGATTTGACATAAAAGCCTAACACTCAGCCTCACCATTCATGCCACTAAGTAGGAATCGAGTCAGGCAAGACAAATCCTTCTGGTATTTCTTGATATAAGATCTCATCTTCAGACTCTTAAAAATCAATTCCAGCAATTCAAGTTACACCCTAATAGCAAAATTTCACAATGGCACCAATCAAGTACCAAGTCAAGCTCTCCGATTTCTGGCGCAGCAAGGCAATAATCACTCCCTCCAATACCTCTTTCCCTACCTACACAGCGGATTTCTCCTGGTTATTTAGCAGGAAACCAACTCCTAGCATTGTGTTACGCCGAGTTCTACAAGATAATCAAGAAGTAACTTTATCTTCTGAACCTAACTCGTCAAATTTACCACCAGCCACATCAACAGAAATACTCGGAGCAGTAGACCTCGACCTACTCTCCCTATCCAAACCATTTTACATCACATTCCAAGACCCGCTTGGCACACACTATACATCCTCACTACCCTGGAAACCAGTGGAAGTAAACAACAAATGGACGACCAATGGTTTTGTCCTGACCCTTCCAAGAACAGATGGAGAGGAAGGGGAGGGAAGAAAGTTTTGTTGGAAGCGAACATCGGGTATTACGAAGGAGAAGAAGCAGAATATTGTTATGAGAAAGTTGGACTGGCTGCATCTTAAGCTCGTTGATGAAGAAGGGAAGACGGTTACTACTTTTGTCCATGATTGCAGTCCTGGGTGGAATCGCGGGGATTTTGTTTTTGAGGAGGAGATGGCTGGTGGAACGGGTTTGGTCGAATTCGAGAGGGTGGTTATTTTAAGTGGACTTGGGGTTGTGGAGTATATTAGAAAAGTTGCGGGATTCAGTTGGTAAGAGACTAGTGTGTGCTTGTGTATTTTGTATTTTCTTTTTAGTCTTCCCGATACCCTGAATGAGAGACACAGATTCTATTCTATTTCGTCCATTTTATAAATAGCATGAGAGACCAAATATGCAATGTTCGATCTGTATAAATACATTACTGCCACAGAAGATTTACATTTCACTCCACAACTACTGTTTCCAACTCGGTCACGAGTGGATCCTTCACTTCCTCGCGTCTCTTTGGTTTCAAAGACTCCCATGAAGCTCGCACTTGTTGAACCGACACCTTCCAGCTTGATCGCATATACTGAACCAATAACTTCCGAAAAGACCTCATTTGATATATCAATATCCACCACTCAGAAGGCTTTGTATTCTCATGACTTGCCTTCAACTCATAGCGATAAAAGACACCACCAGTACTTTTCCAAACTGGACTTTCGTCTTTACGCATACTTTCCAGGACCAAACTCCGGATTTTCTTGTATTGTTTGCTGACGGTTTTGACAATGTTGTTGAGATTGAACACGGCCATGTATGTGCCGACGCCAACTAGAATCATGGTGATGGCGAGGTTGTTGTAATTGAAGGTATCCGTTGTGCTCCAGACGGACTGGCAGAATTGAGCTAGTCAGTATTTGGCTTTTCTGGGGATGAAGGGAGGATCTTACGGTACAGAAGGAGAGGGGCAGGTAGAAAATGCTGACGTATGTTAGGAGTTTAACATTCTCTCCTAGTCGTGTTGAGGCTCGGGATTCCATAACCGCGCTAGCGGAGAATAGCTGCAGAAAGTCAAACTTGGGTTCGCTATAATTGTGTTCTCGTGTTGAAGCTTTTTGTGAACAGATAGGACATCGAAAGTTTACATACCCCGTCACGTAGTGCAATAGCCTTCTCCATTTGATCCTTCAACAAATTCCTCAGACTCTCAAACTCCTTGATTATTTCATCACATTCTTTGATAAATATCTGCAAATATTTCACGGACTCCTTCTGGTCGAACCCTTCAATCCTCCTTAGTTCTGGTAATAGTGCAGTGTTTCGATAACCGTTCCACGTCTGTACATTGAGATGGATAAGATTATCAGATTCCTGGAGACAATGAATCATCCAAAAGTAAGTCCGAGAGCGAGAAAAGAGGTCATCGTCGAAGATCAGTTTATCGTGGGTTTCGAGGTCGAAGATATCTTCGCCCGTACCGAGCATGGCGTTTATATAGCCGTAGAGACTTTTCCAACCTTGAAGGGCATTTTTCATTGGCCATAAGATGAACATCGCGATGTTGGTTTGAAGTGCTGCATGAGGGAAGCCTCGGTAACTCGCGTGGTATTCAATTGTTGAGTGGACGATTGATCTAGGTGGAACGAGAAGGAGAGTTGTCCACACTTCGTGCGCAGTATCTTTTATTGCATGGATCTGTTTCTAGTTGTTAGTAGAGAGATTGATGTTTTGCCTCGTGAAATATACGGTAAAAGCTTCTTGGTGTAGAATAGCCCCCTCACGACGACCGCCTCGAAGAAATCCATGTTTCCATACACTATTCTTGATTAAGTTGAGATTCAGCTCCTCGGAATCCCCCACTTTGTACCAAGAAAAATGGAACGTGAAGCCTCGCCGATTTGAATTATCGTTGAAATAGGATGATTGACCATTAATGTAGGAGTCCATGACGGGATGTGGCCCTCGAGGGAAGCAAAATGGGGAAAAGGCATCGGAAGACAGAAATTCATCTTTCTTCATGACACTAAGACCTTCAATAATACTGTCGAGTACATGAATATTAGCAAGACTGTAAATATATGCTGGTTAACTGCCACCAGAGTTTCCAGAACTTAGCAACTGAAAGGCTGGTTCAGAGTAGCAGTCTGGTGTAGCTACACTTCAACGAGTAATCTCACATCAGTCTTCTCCATGGTGCCAGGCTAACATTTCGGTCTCTGTCTTGGTGTATTTTTGCAACACGAAAACTTGCCTTTCGCCAATTTCCTCTCAGAGCCGAAAGTGCCGTTCTTCTGTTAAGTAATTCATTCCCGAAGGGATGAGATACTTCGTCAACATAATCCACGTCAACCTTTACGCCAGCATTGTACTCGTACCTGGAAAAATGTTAGCCGAGAGCATTGAACCCCTGATTCGAAGGTTCGGAACATCCACGGGGAAGAATTTGTGATTTTCCAGAAATACTCGGGAACCGATAGAATATTAGGGTTCAAAATCCATGTCAGAAATCCTACTTACATCACTGAATTCCGATAAGCATCAAAATCAACGACCACAAAAATCCCGCCTTTAGATTGAAATTCCGATCCATATTTCTGAATCCGTTTATGTGTGATGACCGGCGAGTTTTGAAAATTGACGAGCTGAATCCTCCCATCATCCGGGATGTCGGCAATGCCGCTAGCTTGCAGGCTCTCGTAGATCTCCCAGTTCGTTCCTTTCAGCGGCTCAAAAGCATCGCTTATCTTCGTGATCATCTGTTCGCCGAATTCCCCATTATAGAAAGATCCATAAGGAACAAGAACACAAATCGCTCTGTCTTGTCCTCCAATTTGACAAACGCCCTTGCAACAATTTGGCTGACTTTCTTCTTCTGCAGTCGGATCTTCTAAAAACGTCTCTGGTTTTGAAAGAGTGGCTTCTGTTGATTCGAATTCAGAATCTTCGGTTTGGTGGTCTTTCTCTGAGCTAGGCACCGAGACAATGCACTTTTCTATAGCCTTGTCAGCATTCTCGAGTTTCCCAACGCGTGCGGCTAGCTCTTGGAGGAGCTTGAGGACGAGTTGTTGGGTGGGTATCTCGGCGAGTGAGGTTTCGCTGGCCACCTCCGTGGATAACACCTCTGACATCGGCATTTTTCTGTCTCAGAAACAAACATTGTGGAGAGAATGAGGCTTGGGTTCTTTTTAAGTGAGAGAGGTTCGGTGAGGCTGCTCTGTCACCGGCTAAATTGTGCATCCTTGCACAGAGGACTCAGCCTACCACTGGTGCCTGGGTAGTACCAAGTTAGGAACAAGAAAACAAGTCTCTGTTTTTGTTGGCATCAAATGTATGGAAGCTACGTAACCGGTGATATAATGATATGTAAGTTACCGAGGGCACTTTCTCTTACTTCGGTTATTCAAGAATAACGTAGAAGATATCTTAGTTATCCGGTAGTGCTCATACAGTCGATCTATATTGCCTATAAACCCCTAGAGTTGTTAAAGCAATTACAGACAAGTGATTCCCCTTCAAGATATGCAACTGTTCGAATGAGGGTTGAAATTGATGACCGAGTAAATGCTTCTTAGACAGTTCAAAATTTGATCTGTTCTAGGTAACATCTTGAGAAAGTTTTCTCAACAGTTATTGATGAATAGAATGCTCAGTTAGAGAGCGGCTATGGACGGAAAAAGCAGGATTAACTGACTAACTAGACAAACCTTTAACTGTTACTACTTACTTTCCTACCCAATCCCAACGAACTAATTTCCTCAGTTTAAAAGACATAAGCAAGCGGATTATCACTATTCTTCTCTAGAAGCACTGGGACATTGGATGAATCAACTGCGCCTCGAAACAGCAGTCGTAAATACCAGCAACTTATGATAGCAGCCTCGACTCTCTGCCACCATCAGCGCTGGCCCTCAAACACTGCAACTTAAAACACTCCTGTGTTAGTAATAATATACTCAATTACTACCCAAAGGAACCTTTCGCATCAGCTTATGGCGGAACTCACAGCTTCGAAAACGGACGGTTCAAGTATAAAACCCAAGAAAATCACGTGCAAAATCTCGTATGCTTTTCCTCCTGAGGCCTTTTTACGAAAGATGTGTTTTATTCCCGTTCCTTTGAGAGAAGGTGAAAGTTTGTTCGACAGCAAATGTTATAGATCCTGTGATCTGCAAACACGGACTCCGGTAGTTCTGTTTCTTGCCTGAAACTTGGGCTTAATGATTTAATGCCTTCGGAAGTTCGAAACTAGAAATCGAAGAAACTCATAGTGACATTTCGATGTTCTTGCAAAGAGATATTCATAGAGTAACATTTATGAACCATAATAAGGTATCTTTAAGTACACAAAGGCCTAATAGTGTCACGTCATATAATCATTCTAGAATGTATTCGCTTAACACGTTTGCAGCTAGTGAATGAACCATTACTAACCCTATAGAGCTTGGGTACAGAAGAGTGTGTTATTATTTCTTTGTCTTCCTAGAACTTGCCTCTCGCTAGGGGATCAGTCAGAATACACATGTTGTCTGCATGTTTGGTTCGTTGGATGTAACCCTCATTTGGGCCTGAAAAAGAAAAGTTCAAGAGACTGTTTGTCCGTTGGCTACTGTATATACACCCTGAGTAAATCCCGCATTATACGAATTATACGAAAACTCCAGGGACAATAAAAATAGTCGTGATAGAATACCTGGGATGATAGGTCGCAAAGGCAAGAGCTGAATTTCGATTGTGTTTGTTATAGCATCTCAGCAGGTTACCCAGGGAGGTGCTAAAAATGGCATTCATAGTATTCTTCAGGGCATTCTAATAGAGGGGTTTTGTATAAAAGAAATTTCGTTCACAATTCCTGTTTACTCAAAGTGGAGGAAGAAGATACATAAGAAAATCAGGTTCATTCTCCTCTCTACCAGAAGACCCTATAAACGAAATGCTTACTTCTAAAGGAATTCACCATCTTCTTGCGCAACTTCGCAAGTCCCAAAACCCTTTTCTGTGTTTCCCCCTTCCATGTTGTTCTTTCTCCTAATGACCAAGATCCTAGAATACTCCAACTCCCTACAGTATCAAGCCCTCGCTTCGCAAATATCCCCTCTAATACACACCTCGCTAGACCTCGCTAGACCCTTACTCCCACATCACCACTCTAGCTCATCGATCTCTTACTCTAGAACACAGCAATCAGCTCTATGAAACCATAAAACAAAACAAAACAAAACAAAACAAAACAACCTCATCCCCATCCCCATCCCCAAACCAAACCAAAGCAAACCAAGCCAAATCACAGCCATAATAAAGAGAGAGAAAAGCAGAATAGAACAGAAACAAAAAACTAACTAACCAACAACCCCCCCACAAGCACCCCACACCCCACCAACGCAACCGCCAAAACACACCTCACAACCTCCTCCTCCTCCCCCAGCTCCCTCACCAACGCCATAATCTTCCTCCCATGCTCCCTCACCAACCGCAACGCATTCCGATTCGTAATCTTACTCTCATACCTCTGGATCTCCGCCGCGATCTGGTCCTGACGACCGAGGCCTTCTGTGAGATCCTGCGAGCAGTGGGGGAGAACCATTACATTGAGTTCGTTGAGTCGTGCTTGGTCTTTGCGGTGGATGAAGTGGTGGAAGATTTTGGTGAGGTGCTGTGGGTTTAGATGTTTGGGAAGGAGTTTGGTAATGGAGGTGTATATTGTGTTTTGCTCTTCGGGTACTTTCTCGTTGGATTCTTCGTTGTCTGTGGAGGTGTCTAAGTCGTTGTCTAGCTCCGTCATTGGTGGGGGAACCGTCTCGGCAATTATATAGTCAACTGTCTTGTTGTCGTCTGAGGTGTTGACTGGCTCCTCGGGTGTTAGCGAGGTGGAGGTAGCTGTGGTTGCATAGTGGGCAGGTTGATCTTCGTATGATTGGTATGAAGGGGGGAGCTGGATAGGGAAATGGTATCAGTATTCTATTCATTTTCCTATATCATGTATGGATGGGGGATATTTACACCAAAATCGATGATGGCAGTTGTGCCATATGCGAAATCTGTATTGGTCGACATGGTATTTTGGACCAAAAGTATTGGGCCAGTGTGCAAGTCGTATGCTGAGTTTGATGTGTTGTGGATCGGTGGTGTTTGTGTTGACAGTAGACTAACTCATATAGGAAGTGCTCACAGCCGACGCGTACCAAGGGTAAACGACCTCTCGTAAGCGACCGCGTGTATTGATTTAATCTCCGCCTTTTACAAAAGCAAGGAACTATAGATATATGTTCACAAACTCAAATTCACCATTCCCCCCACGTTCTTTCATATATTGAAAGGCTACGTGCGCTACGAGTTATTAACTCCTTGTTACTATTTACCTTAAGCTCTTGGCTAGTAAACAAATTCCCCTTAAAACAGTGAATTCTCAGAGCTCTATTGAAACTACCTATTTACTAACTAACTACCTTCCCCTTATCCCCTCTATCTCCTCTACCCCCCACCC